CAAACCTGCGGACGCGGCAGGTAAACAAACTGGCCCGGCTGCCAGGGTGCTTACCCTGGCGAGCTGCATGCCAGAGGTTGCCGACCCCTGATCCACACCAATAGAAGATTGCTTCTCTCTCTGCTCAAAACAGCTCCCCCACATTGTGGGATGGAGCAGTCAAACATCTGCCCATTTCATGCTCCCCTGCATGGCTCTGCAGAGTGTGCTTTCCCTCTGGAAATGCCGAGTGGCCACTTGAGAATGAGGGGGTGCCTGACCTGCCCAACTGCATTGTGCACACCAGAGTCTTGGTCACAAAGTATGTAAAAGGGTGGAAGTAATTGACAAGGATTTAACGTGCTCCAGCATCTTCCAGAAACTCCAAATGCTTCTTCAAAGAAACTTCAAAAGCGGGGCAGGTGGTAAGCATTGGATTTGGAAGGAAAAGAACTTGGGATAGAATGAAAGGCGATTGATGTATTTTTGCTATCTTGTCAAAAGGCACCATGAATAATGAGCCTCCTGTCTCAGTCAGGATGTGCACCTGCTAACAGCGCCTGCAGCAAATCAAACGCTGCCAGCCTGCGTTTCGCAACATTGTGTTCTGCAGGTTGTGGCCTTTGTTCAGCTGTGTTCCCTGTTATTTTCTGCTAGTAACCTTTCCCCTGGATCTCACGAAAACGCGACTGCAGATCCAAGGTGAAGCTGCTGTTGGTCGGTATGGACCTGCTGCCGGAAGAGCTGTACCCTACCGTGGCATGCTACGTACTGCAGCAGGGATTGTTCAAGAGGAAGGCTTACTAAAACTCTGGCAAGGAGCAACACCGGCCGTCTACAGACACATAGGTGATTATCTTGTCCCATAGCAATGAGTCAGAATACTGTATGCCAGCGGTTTTCAAACTTTTTTTCTGGTGACCCAGTTGAAGAAAATTGTTGATGCCCGTGACCCAATGGAGCTGGGGATGAGGGGTTTGGGGTGTGGAGGGGCTCAGGGCTAGGGCAGAAGGTTGGGTTGTGGGGTTGAGGACTGCAGGGTGGGGCTGGGAATAAGAGGTTCAGGGTGTGGGAGAGGGCTCTGGGCTGGGTGAGGGGGTTGGGGTGCAGGAGGGGGTCATGGAACTGGGCTGGGGGTGCAGGCTCTGGGGTGGAGCTGGGGATGAGGGGTTTGGGGTGCAGGAGGGGGATCTGGGTTTGGGGGGGACTCAGGGCTGGGGCAGGGGATTGGGGTGCAGGGTTAGGCCATGGGCTTACCTCGGGCGGCTCCTGGTCAGTGGCGCAGCAGGGGTGCTAAGGCAGGCTTCCTGCCTGTCCTGGCACTGCGGACCACGCTGCCCCCTGGAAGCGGCCAGCAGCCGTTCCAGTTCCTAGGCAGAGGTGCGCAAGCAGCTCCACGCAGCTCTCACCCACCAGCACGGCTCCCCCAGCTCCCACTGGCCAGTTCACGGCCAATGGGAGTGCAGAGCTGATGCTCAGGGCAGGGGCAGTGTGCAGAGCCCCGTGGCCCCCCTGCCTAGGAGCCAGACGTGCTGCTGGCTGCTTCCAGGGCGCAGTGCGGCGTCGGAACAAGTAGAAACTAACCTGCCTAGCCGGGCAGCACCGCTGACAGGACTTTTAATGGCCCGGTCAGCGGTGCTGACCAGAGCTGCTGCAACCCAGTGCCTTACATTCTGCAACCCAGTCCTGGGTTGCGACCCGCAGTTTGAAAACCACTGCTGTGTGCTGTGTCCCACAGCTATGCTGTGTTGTGTCATAATCCTGCCATGTCTCTTTGTAACCCTTCTGGCAAGTGCCAATGGCAGCACAAGGGGTCATTCAATGTGCCTAGCGGTCCTCTTAAACTATGGCTTGAGCTATCACCCAGAGCTGTATTCTGACTTCTGGGAAGTTAAAGTAAAACCGCCCTAGTTACCTTTGCAGGTCGTTGTTCCCCACTCACAGGCACTCAGCATCCTTGGGATCCTGGAACCACTGGTTCCTTTTATTTGGGGGGGGGGGGGGGGAAAGTCCTAAAGCATGATCACTGCACATATATTTACGTTCAATATGACAATATGTGTCAGTTGTTCAGTCAACCCTGCAGACCCAAACAGTAACTGGCCACCTTAATCGCACAACAGTTCCCACCCACCTGAAACCTCACTCCCAGCTCTAATTAGGGCTTGTCTGAGGGCTTGTCTACACTGGCACTTTACAGCGCTGCAACTTTCTTGATCAGGGGTGTGAAAAATCACTGCCCTGAGCGCTGTAAGTTTCAGCGCTGTAAAGTGCCAGTGTAGACAGTGCACCAGCGCTGGGAGCTGTGCTCCCAGTGCTGGTAGCTGCTCCCCTCGTGGAGGTGGGTTTTTTATAGCGCTGGAAGAGCTCTCTCTCAGTGGTCTGCCGCGACTACACAAACCACGTTAAAGCACTGCCACAACTGTGCTTTAATGTTGCTAGTGAAGACGTGCCCTGAATGAGTGCCAAGAATGCCACTTACACAACCCCAGAAGATGGGACATTCCCCCGCCTGCATATCTCCACCCTCGCCAGAATGACTGGCCTGCATCGTGCATTTTAGGTCACGTAGGCAGGGGTGGGGCAGTGTGCTCTTCAAAATGGCAGCCCCTAGCCATGAGACCAGACAAAACCACATCCTGTGTTGTCTCAGTAGAGGGTAGGGGAAAAACAATTTAAAAACAGGGCTGTCTGACCTAAAACTGGATGAATGGCCTGCCTAACTTGACTGCTCTGGTTGGGTCTTGCCATGAAGTCAGTTCTGCATCCCCACCACAGCTTGTCCAATTGGGCCTCACTGTGAAGTCAGTTCTGCAGACCTGTCACAGATGGTCTGGTCAGGTGTTGCTGTGAAGTCAGTTCTGGTACCCCTGCCACAGCTGGTCTAGTCAGGCCTTACAGTGTGGCTTCATCGCCATTGCCACTGCCATCAGTTCAGTCCTACAGAATCATTCTGCGCAGGGTTTGGAACCTCCAGGTAGGGAATGGAGAGGAACACTAGACCCTAGTCGTGCTTGCTGGCATAAAGCTCCTGGTCTTTAGAGTGGAGTTCTCCCAACCCTACCTTGCTGAACTTGAATTGCATTCCCTAACCAGATTGTACTACTTGTAATGCCTTACAATGTGTTATCATTCATGCAATCAAAATATAAGCTAGTTCCAATACAGTACGTAGAACTGAGTAAACAACATTATAATTAAGACTAAGATTTAGTCACGGGTATTTTTAGTAAGAGTCATGGACAGATCACGGGCAATAAACAAAAATTCACGGCCCATGACCTGCCCATGACTTGTACTATAAATACCTCTGACTAAATCTTAGGTGCACCTGGGGCACCACTGCTGCTCTGGGGTGCCGCTGCTGCTCTGGAGGGGAGGCAAACCAGGGCGCTGCTGCTGCTCCGGGGGGGTAGGCAGCTCAGTGAGCCACTGTTGCTTCGGGGCAGCGCCCAGGACTGCTGCTTCTCTGGTGGTCCCTGGGGCCGGCCGCCTGAGCAGCAGCCAGTGTGGTTGGCCCCAGGGCTGCCTGAGCAGTAGCTGCCTGGGTGGCCCTGGGGTCAGCCGTACCAGCTGCTGCAGGAGTCATGGAGGTGCCGGAAAGTCGCGGAATCCGGGATCTCCGTGACACTCACAGCCTTAATTATAGCCTCTAGAGGGACCCAAATGCTCCATCTCCGAGCCTTTTCGCTGTTACTTACATCCTTGCCTGAGTTGGAATGTGCAGTCAAATCATACAGTCAAACATTTTCAGTTAAACCCCCTATTTTTCCATTGAGGTCCAGGACTCAAAGGGCTTGTCTACATGGAGACATCCAAGAAAATTAATCCAAATTAACTAAAGGTTGGAATTTGAAGTGGATAGTTATACAGCAACATTCATCAGTAAGTCTCAAAGTGCTTTACAAAGGAGGTCAATATCATTACCCTCAATTTACAGAAGGGAAGTGACTTTTCCAAGGTCACCCAGCAGGTCCATGGCAGGGCCAGAACTTGAAACCATGAAATCTGAACTGCAGTCTAGTGCCCCACATGCCCTTCTCGTTAGCGGGAAGAGGTTCTCAGAGATAGCTGGTTTGTATTTTTTTTAATTGCAAATGCACTGACAGCAGCAAATCTTAAAGGGATTGCACCTGTGGGAGGGAACGCACATAGAGGATTCATTAATGGCTAGTTTACTGGAAATGAAACAAATCTCACAGATTGGTGGCGAGATGGCCAGCGAAGTAAAGTGTCTTAAAGTGCTGAGACGCCTCATATCTGTGACAAGAAATACCACTTAGCAAAAGTATCAGAGGGGTAGCCGTGTTAGTCTGAATCTGTAAAAAGCAACAGAGGGTCCTGGGGCACCTTTGAGACTAACAGAAGTATTGGGAGCATAAGCTTTCGTGGGTAAGAACCTCAGAACATAGTCTACAGCCAAGCACTGAGGTACAATCGCATCTGCTCCAACCCCTCGGACAGAGACCAACACCTACAAGATCTTCACCAAGCATTCTCAAAACTACGATATCCACACAAGGAAATAAAGAAACAAATCAACAGAGCCAGACGTGTACCCAGAAGCCTCCTGCTACAAGACAGGCCCAGAAGAGAAACCAACAGAACTCCACTGGCCATCACTTACAGTCCTCAGCTTAAACCTCTCCAACGCATCATCAGTGATCTACAACCCCTCACTTTCACAGACCTTGGGAGGCAGGCCAGTCCTCGCCCACAGACAACCTGTCAACCTTAAGCATATTCTCACCAGCAACCACGCACCGCACCATAACAACTCTAACTCAGGAACCAACCCATGCAACAAACCTCGATGCCAACTCTGCCCACATATCTACACCAGCAACACCATCACACGACCTAACCAGATCAGCTACATCATCACCGGCTCATTCACCTGCACGTCCACCAATGTTATATATGCCATCATGTGCCAGCAATGCCCCTCTGCTATGTACATTGGCCAAACTGGACAGTCACTACGCAAGAGGATAAATGGACACAAGTCAGATATCAGGAATGACAATATACAAAAACCTGTAGGAGAACACTTCAACCTCCCTGGCCACACAATAGCAGATGTAAAGGTAGCCATCTTACAG